ACTTGTTCGTGGTCGAATGATTGACGTCGGTTTGTCATCAAATATTTTATTTCGTATTTTACCTTTCAATTTTAAATAAAGTTAATTTTATGATGCACTAAAGTCTTCGGCTTCTTTTTGATGAACCTTCTGGCAAGTTTGGAGTATTGTGGCGTAAAGCTACAGGATTAAATGCATGTAGTTTTTGAATGCAATATTATAGTATTTGTGTATGATATTAAATGAATGGATTTTGAAAAGTAAAAAGTATATAAGTGAAACGTTTTAAAGAGGAGACCATTTTTTAACTGAAAAAAGCAATTGTAATGTATTTTGAATTGTACTTTTGATACTATAAAAAATTCAAAACATCTACCATTAATTACATTTTTTTTTAAACTTAAGAGTAAAGGGTGCCGCTTTAGGACACTTAACACCATCTTAATACATATTTAACTTAAATGTTTTTGAAATACCTTTTATTCAGTTTACCTTTGATGCAAGTTAATAACTAAAAAGCAAAAGATAATTCGATAGTTTGAAAGATGATTTTTAAAAAGAAATATAACACGTGGCACACTGGACACCTGAAAATTTTAAACCGTAATTTAACTGGCACAGCAATGGAAAAAAATTCGCTATTCCTGATATAAGGTGTAAAGATTTTGACGAAGTTGAAATCGCAAGTAAAAGATATGAAATATTTAAGAGGCGTTGAAATACTTGAGCTGGTCGGTGTACAGTGGCGTAGCTAGGGTGGGGCAAGGGGGGACATCTGTCCCCGGGCGCAGTATCCAAAGGGCGCCAAATTCATGCTACAAAATTTTTTAATGAAATGTTTTCTACTTCTGGCACACAGAAAGGGGCGCAAATTCTTCAGTTGTCCTCGGGCGCTGGAAACTTTAGCTACGCCCCTGGCGGTGTAGGATAGCTGAAGTGGAGAGCACTTATCTTCTTGGGAATTCAGCTTCTTAAAGAAGGGAAAGAGAGAAGTCACGCAGTTCGTGTGTTATATTTGTTTTATTCGCCCTTCGTATAGAACAGTGAATCATCAAACCGTCGATCACGAGCTACTAGTAACTCGCAGGGACATTTTCGGTAGATCGCGTCAACGCCGTGATTGGCTAACCTTAATTCGTCCATTGAGGTGATGCTGACGAAAACAAATGCCATTGTTAGTATCATCTCATAGTTGATTGTATACGCGTGAGGTTGTGCACGTTATTTTTTTCGTATGTATATTAGACATTAGCTAACTTGGATAGTTTGATTTACGCATTGGTACCAAGCCAGATACGATAACGATGGTATTTTCAAGCAAAAAGCAAAATACTTATCACTTTCATTCGGAATGGGAAACTGATTACTTCTTTACCCAGGTAAAGTGTGGAGTATCAGGACAAGTGTGTGTGTTTACTGTGCTATGCAAGTGTATCAGTTCATACGAAAGTAGTGAATTCAACAAACGCTTTCAAGATTTCAAAAGGATTTCAATTGTTTGTCAAATCGTCTTTTATAGAGATTAATACTGAATAATTCTCTACTTGTGGTATAAGGTATTTCTACCGCCTTCTTAGTATGCCTTCGCAGTGTAGCGGTCTGCAAGCTGGGCGCGTATCCAGAGGTTTGTGGTTCGATTCCCGGTGAGGGCGTTGCTCATTTTTCATCTCTCCTGCTTCCAGTTAACCTAATGTCTCTACAGTGGTATGGAGCATTTTGAGTTTCAAGAAGACAATGAGGCAGTGGTGTTAGAACTGATTGATTTTCAAGATGATTCATGTGTAAAATTCTTCAATCTCTTGTTCTTCAAGTATTTGGCCTCTTGTTCCTAAAGAAAAATGTCCAATTATGGTCCAAGTTTGTCTCAAAGTGAAGGGAATATTGAGCTCTACATATACGTGTGAGATTTCTTTCTCTGGTATGAAAGTTATTAAAAATAAGTACAAAAAGAGACTCGCTGACGAACACTTGGAAAACTATATTCGAATGGCAGCCACTACCTACTCTCCCAATAATAAAAAAATTATTGATGACAAAAGAGAGTTCCATGCTTTTCATTAAAGTCTGATAAAAAAATCTGTCACTACTTTTGTTATTTATTATTAACTACACTTCAGTTTCTTTTTTATGTACATTTCAATTTCAGTTTCATTTTATGTACAGTTTAATTAAAATTAATTTCATATTCACGAGAAATGTAAGTTAAACAAATCTAAGATTTGTTTATAGTTAGTAAACAAATCTAAGATTTCTTTTAATGGTAGTTCTTTTGGTTAGTAGCTCACAGTAGGTTATAAACGGTACAGTAGCTCCAAAGCTTCATAAGTTTGGCTACCACTGGTATAGAAGGGATGAAAAGCTGCCTATTGTTCGTTATAGGTGAGTTGACACATAGGTTGTAGAGACATTAAGTGTTTTTGGAAGCAGGCAGGATGAAAAATGAGCAACGCCTTTGCTAGGAATTGAACCACGAACCTCTGGAATACGCGCCCAGCCTGCAGACCACCACACCACGAAGGCCTGCCAAGAAGACGGGAGAAATAGCTTATATACTCCCCCTTTTAAAGAGCGACTGTGTTTTTTAAGGGGACCTAATCGCCAAATCCTTTGTGTGGAAATTCAACATCCACCACCCTTTTAGTTCAGGCGCCACTGTAGAGACATTAGGTATTTTTGGAAGCTGGCAAGATGAAAAATGAGCAACGCCTTCTCCGCGAATCGAACCACGGATCTCTGGAATACGCGCCTAGCGTGAAGACCACCACACCACGAAGGTGGAAGAAATACCTTATAAGGAAAGGAAGAAATCTTCAATTAAATTTCGCGCTATTCGTAGCTTACCATAATGTTGGCCTTTACAATAACATATGCTTCCCGTTTCCTCAACAGAAATGTAAATGAATTGGAGAGTAGTTAAACTGAGGTTTGGGGATCGTAAGACAGAGTGTGTGTCTGACATTCGTGAGAATTCTTCAGCCAACTTAGAATTAAATTAAATTGCGTATCCTTTACTATTAGGTCACGTTTTAAATTTTGAATTTCACTATTATTTTAAGAGTCACCGCCCCAAGTGATGGCTGATACTGTGAGCACAAAAAGCGTATTTATGTTCAATTTCTGTTAAATAAAAAGGTTTGTTTTAAACCTTTCAGACACAGTGATAATTCGTTTAACATCTGTTAGAAGTTGAACTATTTTATGCTCCCAAAGAAAGTCAAACAAACTGTGTAAATTTTATTCTAGAATACTATCTCTGGAACAAAGTTACAAATATTGTAATACTGGTGACAAATTTCCTTTCCAGTTGCTGTAGGTGTTGCTAGTTATGAAAAGCTTTTCCCAAATAAAAATCATTTAAGAACTACAGATGTCTGTTTTGCTTTTAAAAAAATCTTTCCCTACTGTCTACATAACAGCAAGAGTAAGCAAATAGATCTTTACAGTGTAATGGATGGTTCTGCGAACAAAAATAATAATAATAATAAATAATAATAATGTTCGAATAAAAGTCTTTCTTCAAAAATGAACATAGAGTTTTAATTTACTTCCCTACATGTTGTTTTGAAATTTTTTGTCCTTATTTGTTTGTATATCGAGAGGGGCAGTAAATTCAGGGACCGCCCAGGCGACAAAAGTTCTAGCCACACCCACTGCCTTCTTCGAATTCTTATTATAATAATACCAATTAATTTACAGGTGATGTGTTTGCGCGCAGCATAAAAAAGGAGATCGCCAGTTTGAAATCACCGTCTTAAGAGTTGCTTTTTGTGTCCTCATCCTCCTGAAATGGGTTCACACTTGTCTTAGCCTTTCTTTAGAACACACAGAAATATGGGCTTGAAGATAAAAGAAAAATTAAACACTGTTTTCCTTTATGAATGGATTGTGGATCCTAACATCTTAGAAGTGGATGATTTTAAGGGTTAGTCAATCTTTTGTTTAAACCTGCAGAAATTCTGGAAAAATAGGAAAAACACAAAAAAATTTCAATCGAAGATATCCATACAGTTCGTTGTATCCGATTTTCCTTCTTTTATATGTTGACTATTAAAAATATAAAATGACATTAAGTGTATAGGAAATTAAATGGGACCAAAAGGTTTATGCGTTGTAACAGGGAATCCGTCATAAAGCAAAGCTTCCTACAGCGGATTTCAACTATATCTATTATCAGTATTTAAGGATTATGATGCCAAATTTTCATATATTGCATATAATTACCTTTTCCTAAAATGAAGATTAATTTAAAAAAGGCATAAGAAAATCTAAAGTTATTAAATAATTACTGAAAATTGTTTCTTTTAATATACCATATTTCTTTGGGTATTTTTCCCTTACCCTTTTAGCGCAAGTTTCTGCAAATTTTTAAAATATTCGTATTATTTTCCCATTCTTCATTGCGTTTAGGGAACAAACTTCTCTAAATTTTAAAAGTGCACGCGTCTTCGCAGTGAGCGTTTTCGTCTCACCAACAAAGACAAACCCGCGCAGACTACCTGCGAATGTCACGCCGAACCTATCTCTTCTAACTGTTGAACTAAATGCCTGTGCAATACTAGAACCGACCCATCACAGCGATACAAACATGAACGGACGTTTAATCTACGATTTTGCCGAGTCGGCTGCACATTCACCTTTCAATTGCTTATATGGATCATTGGAGACTCAGAAATAGCAGAGACAGCAGTAAGAACTGCCGAAATTCAAGTTACAGTAAAGTAGAAATGATGATATTATAGTAAGTATTGTAACGTTATTCCTATCGGAATGTAGGTTTCTTTTAAAGAAATAATTATTGGGATAGTTATCTATAGTTTATCCATGATTACTTTTTATCTGTTGTGTTCTTACTATGACCTTGTCCTACAAAAATGAAATGAATCGCATAACTTCCTCCCTCTCGATAGTCAGATAATAAAATTAATAAAAAAGGGAGAAATATGCGAGAAAGTACGGTAAATATATATGCAATTTTTTAGTTTCTTCTATTCTTACGTAAAATATAAAACTTTCTGTTTCAGAATAAAGCGTCAGTGAAACTGAATATATGTTTGGCCAAGGAACATAGACTCTTTTTGAAATAAGAAAGGAAATATAGTTGGCAAACTTCGAATTAGTATTTTGGGGACTAAAATAAAACCAAATTGTTAATGTAATTATATAATTAAAATTTTGTTTGATATTTTTTCTGCAAATAAATATTTTGATCTGAAAATTTTTTATGTCTATATAATAAATTATTTTGAATGCCTTTTTTTTCACATTACTGTTGCATTGTATCACATAGTATACATAACTCAAAATATATGAAACAGACATTTCTGAAAAGAACTTTAAATTGATGGATTCTTAAATGCTATTTTCTAACGATGCACACAAATAAAATTGTTTTAAGTTTTAATGTTTCATTAATAAATTTGCTACTAACATTTCCTTAGCTAAAACAGAAATGACGTAGAAGTATCAGTAATCATGCGTTATTTGTTATTTCTTTTTGTTGTGATTTTATCGCACATTCAAATATGAAAACTACTGAATTTTTTATTTTATGAATCGTCACGCCAAATTTGGCGATTTCTGTGTTAGATAAAGATTTTATCCTAGTAGCCTACTTCTTCATTGTTTTGAAATGATTTTATTTTGAAAATCGTATTTTATTTTTTGATAATTAGAATTAATGGCAATGTGGGTTATTAGAAAATAGTGATGTATCATACAATCTATATATAACTGTAATCTAACCAACAGCATTTCATTTCTATTATTTTACACTACAGACATTTACATGAATATATTCAGAACACTCCTTTTTATTGAGCAGGAGGATTCATTTATATCTAACACAGACTGACTCTTTGAAATATTTTACCAAAGTATGTTGGATTTTCTTGTATACATCGTATTTAAATCACCAACATACGCTAAACCTTGATTTCCATTATCTGAAAACGTCACTCGGATTCTTAATATTATCCCACAATTAACCGCAGACCTTCGTAAACACTGCTCTATTTGAACTTAACACAGCCTTAATTTTTTAACAAGCTACAGAATTTTTAACTACAGTATATCCACATTGTAATGTAATATTTTAAATTCAAAATATAGCCATATTTGTGTAAAACATCTAAAACGAAAGGATGTCTATAATACACATGGAAATAATATTCGTCACGGAAGTGAAACTTTGTCATCTTTTTCCCAACTTAGAATATAAAAATTTCTCAGCAGGATATTTTTTTTTTTCAAAGAGTATGATCATTATTTTTACAAGTCTAAGAGCATTCTAATATATTCCTTCTAACTTAAGATATACTTTCAAATTGACAAACATTGAAGTCTTGCAGCTTTTTTAGAAGAAATTTTAAGTTATGAGACATAGCAAATAAAATCCTGCACAACAGGAAATATTGACATGAATTCCAAATAATAATCCCACTTTAATATATTAAATTTAACTGAAGATACGCATTTCAAACTGACATTATTTAGAATTCTTGCAGATCTTTGAGTACATCTAATATTTAATTTTTCACAGATATCAAAAACAATTTTGCATAAATACCATACAAGACATATAATATTGACATGAACTCCATATCATGGTAACTTAAATGAACTTTTGATACATTTTAGTATGAGTTAATTTTAAAAAGAAAAATTCCAATGCAAGTATTCAAACAAAAATGCTTCACAAATTTCAGATAAAGTAGGAACGAAATAAACCTAACTGATAATAACGGAAAAGCGTGCAAAGGACTATGAAAAGATGCATTCGTGCAAGACATTCTAATGCCCTATTTAGCACATGGGCTGCATTTTTTCATTTTTCAGATTAAGCAAACATTCAAGATAATACCTATATATCTATAGATATTATTTACACTAGCTAGTAATGTAATTAATTAGAACAGTCGCAAACGTATAGGAGAAGTATGCAATATCCACGAAAAACCTTCCTCCCAAGCCAAAGAGCAATAGTGAAATATAACATGTAAGAAGGGGAAAAAATGCCCGATTTCCGACAAAATAGTATCTGAGTATGGAAAACATGAACAAGAAATGAATATTTTTTCTGAAAATGTTCCGAATGGGATAAGTCAGGGGTAAGAACCTTAACCAGTTTCAGGAATAGGGCATGAAGAGTTTTTAATCTTATTTTTGGCTATAATGTATTTACTTATACTAAAATATTCTGTTTGAAGACTGTATTTTACACTTAGAAGGAATTTGATAAATCAGAGTGATTTCGTTTTCTGAAGATTCTGGTTCAGAAATATTACAACTCAAAAGCAAAAAGGTTAGAACGATAAGGAAGTATACCGTAACCAATAAAAAAATTTTTTCTTCCTAAAAAAAATAAAGTGAAACTGTTTCCATCTAAAAAAATCTACTACTTTTCAAAATCAAAATGTAACTTTTCCCCCTTACATTTTGAATTTAACATGTGTTTTTTCATAGACAAAATAAAAGTGGAGGTTTTTCTCCCTAAAAAAATTAAAGCGAAACTTTTTCAACCTGAAACAAATATAAATGTGTTCTTTGTTTTTTGACTTTGTAAACTTTAAAGTGTAATTTTTCTAATTACATTTTAAAATTAACATGTGTTTTCCCAGAGACTAAACAAAAGTGGCGACTTTTCGTCTTAAAAAATTGAAGTGAAATTTTTTCCAACTCAAAAAAGCAAACTGTTTCATTTGAGTCCTAACGGAAACTGTAGTGAATATTTTTCACCTTAATAAAACAAACACATTCAGAAGCTATCATCAAGATATTCCACTCAGAATAGTTTTCTACTTTTCATGCCATTACATTTATAATGAAATTTGAGTCATTGCCAGATAGTTAAATGTTTGTTATTTTTCTCGCACACGAATGCATTTCGTGTCTTACATACACTCATTATATATGAATTAATAAAATTACAAACAAGTTAGAAGTTAAGTGAATATTTCCTGAAATACTGTACATTTCATTTCGGAAAGTTACATTGTAAGGATCCTAAGTTTTACTAACTTTTATTTTATTTTATTTTATTTTATTTAAAACTGTACTATCACTTCTTATTTTCTACTTCCGGTCAGAATTAAATGCTTTAACTTGTTTATGCAAATTGTCTTGCTAACACCCAAGTATTTAAGTTGTGGCTTTTTGCCAAGAGAGAGAAAGAGAGTGAGGAAGCGAGCAGGTTGCTGCTTTCCATTAAGGCCCTCTTGATATTTGACAAACGCATTCTAATTCTCGGCGTACCCTTTTAAAAAAAAGGCAAGTCTTAGTGTTAGGAATTTCTATACTAATTCAAAGTTGAGTTTTAGTTATTAGTTTTATATTTTTACTTTCAGACCAAGAGTGGTTGGTCGTTGTATCCCGAAGTACGGGAGCACCCGTAAATTAATAGAGAATAAAGGGTTCAGTACACCCTTCCTGCTTGTGTCGTCTTTTCCACACATACTTGAACATAGCTTTAGTAAGCTTCCTGTTCTTATTCAGGATACGTTATATTCCCGAAACAAGTTAAAAGACATACATCTCCTGACAATATGAGTATCTTCATTGTGAATCCTTTACATTTCTTTTCCTACACCCAAAGTAAATTTTGAGTATAAAATTTTCAGTTTTGACGGAAGTTATTTGCGGATGGCTGTGATGTGTTCGCGTTTTCATAAACCGTTTTTTTTTTGAACACTTTTGAATATTACCATTTTTTACATTACTACCATTGCAAATCATTAAATTTTCAAATATTTTCCTATTTAGCGTTTACAATGCCTCGTCTTGAGAAAAAATTTTTACTAAATAGTTATATTATTTGATTTACTAATTTTATTACACGTTTGGAAGATTTTTAACTTCAACAATACTACTACGCTGAACATGAAATTAAGAAAAGAAATGGAATTTTTATGTTAGTATTCTATAGCGATAGATTAATTTTCTCTGACATTGACGTAGTCGTATGTAGAAAAAGAGACTTTTAACCCAGCTCATACAGACTTTGAATATTTTCTCTAAATCACCACGATAACTGACTTGCATTGTCATAGATTTTCTCGTGAAGTCTATTTCTTTCTTAAAAGAAGTTTATATAATAATTTCATTAGAAACATGCCCAAGGAAATACCTCATCTTCATAAGAAACATCAGCGCTTTGATTTAAATTAGTATTAAAATAAGAATCATTGTTTTGTAAATATGTTTCAGTGTGACTCAAAAGTTTCTTCTTTATCATATTCGAAATGAATAATTAACCGTACATAACTAATATATTGTATTGATGAACCAGAGTTATATTTTCACTTACTGCATTACATTTCAAGTGAACGTGTATATTGCATCTTTTAATAAAATCTTAAAGGCTGAAATGAGTGATTCATTAACAAATTTATACTTTCTGAGTTCATTCTACTGAAACGAAAACATTCATAACTTATTGCGAAGAAATATTTATACATGTTATACTTTTTGATTAATTTTCTTATTACTGTATTAATCTTTGAAAGTTTGTTTCCTAGTCCAGTGCTAATATATTACTAATTTTCGCTCTTTCAATGCATTTCGTATGTGACAAAAACTCAGTTTAGACGTTTATCTTATTTTTCCAAGTGGCAACAGTCTCGCGCGTTCGAAATAAAAATGCTTTATTTCGAAAAGTGGTGCTGCTGTTTGCTTTCAAATGGTAGAGTTTGTTAATAAAAAATTTGTAAGTTTTATAAAATCTGTATATACAAAGAATGTGTATGTAAATTACGATCAACTTTTTGCCACATTTAATCGACTAAAATTGAATATAAGTGAAATATTGGATGGAACTGGAGCTTTTACGACCATTTCATTAGAAAAATGAAAATCATTCAAAATTGCGTGCCGTTGTTACTGATATAATGAGAGAGAGTAAGTTTATTTTTCTGTCAAAATTTTTGATGTGAGTTCCATATCGCATCAGACTGAAAAATGTATGACTACGAGTCGTATTTTTTGCATCGTTATTAGTTTGAGCAGCTCGGCGATATCGTTCTCTCTGTTGTTAGATACATTACTCTCAATCTAACTTAACTGGCATTGCGTAATTCCGCTAGTTAATATATAAAAAAAAAAGTATTAAACCTTTAAAATGTGTATTACAATTAATTTTGATTATCATTCGCTTAAACTGCTTATCATTAAAACTGTTGGCATAAAATGGGCGGGAGGATAAGAAAGTATGAAAACCACTGTGTCTTCCGTCAGCTAGATTCCATTAAAACGAATATG